CGGCAGGCTTTTCACATTGACTGGTAGTATAGCGAGAACGTCGGCAGGCCTGTCACATTGACTGGCAGTATAGGGAGAACGTCGGCAGGCCTGTCACATTGACTGGTAGTATAGCGAGAACGTCGGCAGGCCTGTCACATTGACTGGTAGTATAGGGAGAACGTCGGCAGGCCTGTCACATTGACTGGTAGTATAGCGAGAACGTCGGCAGGCCTGTCACATTGACTGGTAGTATAGGGAGAACGTCGGCAGGCCTGTCACATTGACTGGCAGTATAGGGAGAACGTCGGCAGGCCTGTCACATTGACTGGTAGTATAGCGAGAACGTCGGCAGGCCTGTCACATTGACTGGTAGTATAGCGAGAACGTCGGCAGGCCTGTCACATTGACTGGTAGTATAGCGAGAACGTCGGCAGGCCTGTCACATTGACTGGTAGTATAGCGAGAACGTCGGCAGGCCTGTCACATTGACTGGTAGTATAGGAAGAGCGTCGGCAGGCTTACGATAGGTCACATTGGCCCAGTAATATAGGGACAAGGTCGGGAGGCTGGTCAAATTGGCTCAGTAATATAGGGACAAGGTCGGGAGGCTGGTCACATTGGTCGAGTAATATAGGGACAAGATCGGGAGGCTGGTCACATTGGTCGAGTAATATAGGGACAAGGTCGGGAGGCTGGTCACATTGGTCGAGTAATATAGGGACAAGGTCGGGAGGCTGGTCACATTGGTCGAGTAATATAGGGACAAGGTCGGGAGGCTGGTCACATTGGTCCAATAATATAGGGACAAGGTCGGGAGATTGGAGGTTAAATACATTGATCCAGTAATATAGGGACAAGGTCGGGAGACTGGAGATAGGTCATGTTGGCCCACTATCGGGACAAAAATGTCAGAAGTCTCATGGTCGTCACGTGGACCCAACACAAAGAAATACAATGGTTTTGAGTCATGCCTTACATGGACCAAACACAAATAGTTTTTATTGTCCACTTGAATCGGTGTTAGTAGGATATAATATTTGTATGGCCGTGATAACCCATCTGGGACGTTGCATTTGGATTCTGACCTTCGGTAGAACATTCTTGTAGGAATTTTGAAGTTAAACAAATCATTATCTCTCAAAACTAAGCTTTCCTGTCGTCTGCTCCGCCCCAAAGTAATATACCTGAGAATAAAATATGTGCTTGGTGCGACTGGAGTCAAAGAGCACCTACAATAATACCACGTGACCACAATATTGAGGTTGTAAACACCACTTATACGTATTGTGTAAATTTACCTTCTACTTCAAATTTATGTTTTTTTGTATTTTAATAACATGTCATGATGCCCGTCAGAGGACTGTTTGGTCCTTATAAGATCTCTTAGTATTGTCATTTGATAAAATATATTAACTTTCCACTTCAAAAACTGTAGATTTCGTGCCGTGTATATACCGATACTAAATCATGAGTCAGCTGTACATCAACACAATGAACAGGGGTCCCAGAGTATACGGCCGATATATTGCCAAAAATTCAAAAACACTCTCACCGTCTTGTTAACATTGTGCAACGCCAATAAAAATGTATTTTTTCATTTCTGACCCATATTTGAAGAAGCTCTTATATTTTTTTTCTATATAGACTAAACACAAACATATCATTTGTCATCGATGACAATACGTCACAAAATACACAAAATACAATTTTAAAGTATTTCAAACATGTTATAAAACACATTTCTTCTTTCTTTACATTAAAAGAGTCCTGAAATATTTCTAATTACTTTTTCTCAAGTGCCATTACATCAGTTGTGATATAGGACGTAACACGTTTATTTATTTTTTTTCTTTTTAACTTTATATTTGTCTTCCAAATTTAATGCATTGGTTGGTGTGTACTGTTAGTTCATACTGCTGTCTTCAAAGGTTTGTGTATAGGTAAAATTGAAATCACGTAAGACGAAGTTGAAATAAACGCCCGTGGCCAAATTTCCTTCGACATCTCCGAGGAGATTAAGTTATGTTTGCCCGAGTTCGTTGAATAGTAAACCAATAAAGATGATGTTACTGCGCTATGTTTACGATAAAATATTTAGAGATGGAATAATAGAACACACCAAAACGTTTAAGCATACTCAATTTCATTAATGTATTTTATCTTATCTTTATTCCCACTAATTTATCTTGCAATACTGTTTTGGAATTCCAACTATACGATATGGATCGTGGATTGGAAGTTCGTGCCAAGTCCCTCTGACCGATATTTACTCTATTAATTTTACACCCCAACACCCCACGCCCTTCCCCCTACCCCCACTCCAACTGGGTCCCAACTCTCCGTCAAAATAACCCACTCTACGTACGCTGAAGCTACGTCAGAACAGACGTATCTAACACTCACTACACTCCTTGAGGTACCGTACTGAACGGCAGCTGGATGGCAAAGGTTAAACCTATATCATCATAAGTTAATGAAATACGCCATATACCAGACGTACGTTTTTGTAATTAATGCCTGTGAGAGAGGATGGTGATACTGTGATAATAGGTAAAATACAAGACAACTGTCCTATGCTAAAATTGTAAAAAAAATAACAGATGTTTTTGACGATACATTTACAAAAAAAGTTCGGGGGGAGGGGGAGTATGGTCTTGCATGGTCTCTGAGAATAATACAGTTACTTTTAAATTATCAGATATCTGAAAATTACAAAATTGATTATATTATGGGTCTAGTGCAACTCCCCACCTACATTTAATCTTTTTTCTGATTTCTTTGGATTTTCGGCTCAGTCGCCTCCTAGGTTTCACAAACTTATTCCTTAGCATCACTAACGAGACCTAAAAGAACGGAACAATGTAGCTTTAAATCGTGCTATTCACTTGTGTGTCTTTTTAACAATCATTGATCAAATATGTCAGATATGAGCTCAATCTTTGGAGATCATATGATATACAGGTGAACATATCAATTCCCGTCTTTAGTGTCACAGTGCGAATGATCGCTGGTAACATATAGCTCGAACAGAATTAAAATTCGGAAATCCTCGACCCATGGTGCAACTCTCGGTGTGATCTGGTTTACTGACTGTGCTTGTTATCATCGCAAATCTTCCTTACATGATAAAGTTCAAGTTATTTTCTAATATGCATGACAGAATGAGGTATTTTTTTTTATTCCGTGTTCTTTCTTTATACTCATTATACTGTAAGAACTCGACATGACCCGGGTACATTATGATTGTTACTCTAAGTGCAGTTGTATATCTCGATTTTCGGCTCTGTTTGATTTTATTCTGATTCATCTATAAACTGGCAATAATTGAACAAAAACGTTATGTATCACTTACGTAACTGACAAGTGCAAACTCCTTAGTGACAGAGATCAAGACGAGTGCAAGCTCTCTTGAGACCGAGATCAAGTCTTTGATCTTTGGCAAGGTTATAATACATTGTACTGGTATACCTGTGGAATTAGGCGTGTATTTTCACCCTTGGTCAGCTGAGGTAAGAGAGGTTACTAGCACTGTTTACCTGTAACTTTACCTGTCTGTGTACACCGGGTGAGTCCTTTGATGTGGCTTCAGGATCAACAGCCTTTGTCACCCATGACTTTGCGGAAACTTCTGAAAAATAATTCAGTTTTAACTGTACTTCGATTGAATTACTTTGAAAATAGCCTAAAGAGTTAAACGCTAAAATTTATCTCTTAATTTAAAGCTACTGATTAAAGGTGGAAATTCTTTAATGTGACTTTAAAAGTTTTCCAACGAGGGAAGGCGTTTTACCAATTTGTAGAAAAATTGTCCGTAAATTTTGAAAGTACATGTTGAGAAAAATTAAGGATAAAATATCTAGAATTTGGAGTCCACCAGAAGTTAACTACAAACTGCAATCTCAAAATAATTCTGATGTACAATCGGATGAAACTTCTCAATGCTACCTCGTCCTGTTAAGACTCGCCAGTGAATCTCTGGTAAATTATGACGACAAAATCGTGTTTCAGATTCAGATTCATATTCCTTATGTCATTATGTCGGAAAGATGACAGTCACTTTTTAGAATGATCAATTCACTGATCTCAGCTCAATTGAAAAGCGGAGTTTTAAGATGTTTAAAAATTTGAATATCTGTTTATTAAACTCTCCAGCAAAGATAAATTTTTAGAATGTAAATGTAATTCCTTGTGTTGTTCCAACAATAGCTTATAAATACATGTATACTTGTTTTCTTCAGTTTAGGAAATCGTGCATTTTCATTTATCACATTCCCGTAAAGAATGGGATAATATTCGTCATTACCACTTGTTTTATTAAGTTGATGTAATCTTTTCTATCACACTGAACATCAATAGTGCAGAACTCAGTGTGTACTACCGTAAACACCCAACATTCATAGTGCAGAAATACAACCAACTTTTATAGTGCTATCACAATGAAGTGTACTAACGTAAACACACAATATTACATTCCATACGGTCACAATATACTGTCACCAGACAAATTAGTCGTTATACACCACAACTACTATCTTAACCTGTCTTGTGCATATATGTCTCGGCCAGGAATAAAACCCAGCTCAAATACAGGCCACACAAAGGCAGTATGAAATATATATCTAGAATTGTGTCACGTGAATTGACGTTCTCAATGAGATCAAACATCCGGTAAAAAAAATCAGAAAACTTGAAATATACATCTGTGTATCTGATTAGAATCGATCTGGTAAGTAAATTTAATAAAAAAAAATCTACATGACACATCATCATATTTCCTGATAATAAATTCGGAGTTCGAAAGTAACACTATTAGCATAAGACTCTCTTTTTCATACAATGCTTGGTACCTATTCCTGAAATTCCTAAATATTCTGTATTTTCTCCTGATTGATAAACAATTCTTTGTACATTCTTGTAAACCTTGTTATGAATACAGGGTCAATCGTTATCTAAACATGAAAAAATACCGCAAAAACAGAGGCAAAGAACTGGGTTCGAACACGAGGAGGTGTGGCATAATGACGCGAAATACGAAACGTATAAAACTTGAAACAGGTCTGAAATGAAAGACCCATATATTTACCGACCAGATCACAAAGCTGGCATTGCTTACGACTTTTGGACAACCTATTACATTGACAGATGAATGAAACTATATGGACATGCCGAAACTGTTACTTCTAAATCAAGATGAAGGGGCCCATAGTCATTAGATGGGTACTTTTAAAAAGCGTTGCCAGTCCTGTTAATCGATTTTGTTGTCAATGCGGACACGGTTAATCTATAGGTATACGCCTGTTGAAAAAAGGTCCGAATTGACTTGTATAAGGTTCTAGGTCGTATCTGGTTAGAATTATTGTCATTTAAAAGTGACAAAATTAAAAATGAAATCTTAGTTACCGCAGCGCCATATATCCCACTGGTCGTTCTTTATGAACTGGATTTGCATGTAATGTTTATCTCGGTTTAAATATATTTAATTGAGACATGTTTTCAGTATAAAGTCTGTCTGTCTCAGTAATTACATGTTGAATTTTATCTAAAAGTTATTACAAGCAGATGTATTCGCAATAATTGAACCAGCCACGTCTGAGAGTGGACAGATTTATTTCTGTAATGTATGGATTTGTGTAGCTACTGTCCTCGTCACGTTGTAAATGGTGACCGAAGACAAAATTATCATGTTTGTATTTCCGTTCTAAATTTCTGTCTTTGTCAAATGTTTTGTCAGCTGACAGGTACATTGTCCTTCGCGTGTAGCGTTCGGCCCTGAAATGTGTTGAAAATTGGCTACATCCCAGTATAGACATTCCTAGTCTGACACTGTTCACGTCTAATACCAATTACAATTCATGTTTCACTGTCAATTTCAGTGTTGATTTCAAGAATCTATCAAATTCAGTTTGCTGAAAAGTCTTCCCGAAAAAAGTTAACCACAGAACAACACGCCTAGATACTTTATTGAGTATCACTGCTGTTTCTGTCATTGTTGACATATCGGTGTTGAAAGAAAGTGATTTAGATAAAGTACACGAAAACATTTATAATTGCCATTTTGGCTACCTAACCAATATGCGTGGGATGGATTCTCATTATTCTTTGTTTGTTTTTTCGATTTATTTGTCAAAATGATTAATGTGCGTCATTTTTTGTTTCAATTTAAAATCAGGCGGTCAATCATACTAATAATGTAGATTTCAACATGAACAATAATTAGCGGGGGAGACATCCGACAGCTTACTTACAAAAATCATAAACAGTGGTAGCGGGGGAGGAGGCGGGGCATTTTGTGTAGCCTACACAGTGTCATATGTAACACAATTCACATTCATTATATGTCAATATATAAAAAATGATATGTCATTAATTTTAAATGTTGCTAAAATTAATATCAGTACATCTGAAGACATTTAAGAAACCGCCTACTGTCTGACTTTGTTTTCTTCTTGTAAAAATGAACTGTTCCGATCAGGATATATAACGGACACACTAAATTTCAAATATAAGACAGCCATTAAAGAAGTATTTCAATTATATCGCTGATTCGATAAAACAATTGAAGGGAAAAAATGTCGAGATAATGACTATCGCCATATAAAATGACAATAACACGAGAGATGATGACAATAACACGAGAGACAATAACACGAGAGATGACGACACGAGATCTGATGACAATAACACGAGAGATAATGACACGAGATCTGATGACAATAACACGAGAGATGATGACTATAACACGAGAGATGATGACAATAACACGGGAGATGATGACAATAACACGAGAGATGATGACAATAACACGAGATCTGATGACAATAAGACGAGAGATGATGACAATAACGCGAGAGATGATGACAATAACACGAGATCTGATGACAATAACACAAGAGATGATGACAACGCGAGAGATGATGACAATAACGCGAGAGATGATGACAATAACACGAGAGATGATGACAATAACACGAGAGATGATGACAATAACACAAGAGATGATGACAACGCGAGAGATGATGACAATAACGCGAGAGATGATGACAATAACGCGAGAGATGATGACAATAACACGATAGATGATGACAATAACACGAGAGATGATGGCAATAACACGAGAGATGATGACAATAACACGAGAGATGATGACAATAATACAAGAGATGATGACAACGCGAGAGATGATGATAATAACGCGAGAGATGATGACAATAAGAAGAGATATGATGACAATAACACGAGAGATGATGACATGAGAGATGATGTCAATAACACGAGAGATGATGACAATAACACGAGAGCTGATGACTATAACACGAGAGCTGATGATTATAACACGAGAGATGATGACAATAACACGAGAGATGATGACAATAACACGAGAGCTGATGACTAGAACACGAGAGATGATGACAATAACACGAGAGATGATGACAATAAGAAGAGATATGATGACAATAACACGAGAGATGATGACATGAGAGATGATGTCAATAACACGAGAGATGATGACAATAAGAAGAGATATGATGATTCTGTTGTAGGTCGAATTCGATTATCCTGATGTCTTTCTTGGAGGACTGTTACAATAGAACCTGCCGTATGCCATTATACGAGATCAGGAGAGTTAACTAATGCTAGGCCTTCCCCCGTTATGTATTGAATGTCGAAAGGTACGGGTTCATATTTTTATATTTTCTTATTTCAAAACCCAGCATTCATTATATATATATATATATATAATTGATATACGCTTAAAACAAAGTGAGTTAATATGATGTCCCCTCCTACACAATCCTCACATTGTGGACTTGCCTGTATATGTTACTGTTGTTAGGTCAACGGACGACAGACAGTAGAAATATTTAATTAATTCCAAGTTTTATAACGTGTACAGAATCTGCATTTACCAAACTATCATATCAGATGGAAACTGTGAAAAGGACTGTTTTGTAACAATGTTTATAACATGTATAGCAGGTGTTCTTAGTCACAATCCATGTGGCCTCGCACCACACATTATACCTACTGGTCATTGAACAAAAAAAAAGTTCGCGGGAAAATTTGAGGTCAGTAAATTTTTGTTATGAAACATGTGTTTTCCCGTGACTTACATACTCCGTGCTATTATACAGTTATTGACCGTTGTTGAGGTGGACATGACGACTGATTACCCCGAGGAAGATAACTATAATATAATATCAATATACATGTCATTACTCGCTGATCTAATCGACACAGATAATTACTTCTGCCGACGTAAAACGTTACTAGGACTGACTTCGGCCTCGATTGATAACCAGACATGGTCGGATTGACAGCAGGTAGTTAATGATGTATTGAAGAATATTTACCTGTGATGACGAAAGTCAGTAATGCAATACACACGAGTCTATAGACGTAACAGCACAATGAATGTTGATGTATATATTATATACTTAATAGTAGACAGACAGATTACCTGATCGTTAAGTAGGTATATATGTATGTAATAATTTATATATACTTTGGTTTATGTATACACGTGTTTAGTAGATCGTATCCCCGTCTACATAAGTCCCGTGGTCTTGTTTACAGGGTTCTGTATGTAACACATATGTATATTCTGATCAAATGTTTGTCATTTTAACACTGATAAATAACAATAGTAGATGCTTAACTGGCCATAATACATGTAGGTAATTATATACATCAAAACAAACAGAATTCTTCCATTCTGGCCTACCGTGCTGAAACTCTAATCGGTAGATTTATTCGGCTGAATTTTCGTGCTTTGTCGCATACAAGAAGCTGCAGTATAAAGCGACTTTTTCGTTCGAACGGACTCCTTAGAAATACTGCTGGACATCCAAAACCCAAAGTCTATTTTTCTCAAGGTGAATTTCGAAATAAATGAAGAGAAAGTAACCAACTCATTAGAAACAAGCTATATGTATTAAAGAGGTTCCTGTGTATCCCGTTATTGTCGGTGTAAACAGGTGCACTATGTATCTTCTGGGCCTGTCTGCATACAAGGACAAGGAATTCCGAGTATTGGTGCACAATGTATCTTCTGGGCCTGTCTTCATACAAGGACAAAGAATTCCGAGTATTGGTGCACTATGTATCTTCTGGGTCTGTCTTCATACAAGGACACGAATTCCGAGTATTGGTGCACTATGTATCTTCTTTGTCTGTCTTCATACAAGGACAAGGAATTCCGAGTATTAGTGAAACACGAAACCTTCCATTCAATTAAAAAAAATTATTTATAGAAGAAAAAAATAGACATTTATATGGCGTAAAAAAGACTAGACTATAAGTAACTTTTCATAAATTTGCATGCCTTCCTTGATAATCTATGTAAATATGTAAGTCAATCCTGAAAACGCGACATAATTAGTTTCAATATACATATATGTATATCAATATGTATATATGTATATCAGATAGTTATGTTATTTGCGTTGTTTAGTAAAAGACTAATTCCTACCGACGTCATTAATGTTCCTTCAACTGTATTCCAGGTTCCGTCTCATATTTCAAATCGAAATTCTTACCTCTTGTTTAGTTTTTTTCTAAAGAATTTTCGATATTTGTTACAAACATAACTATTCTGCTTAAGAAAATAATTTTAGGTGGAGTTATACCTTAAAATTTATTCATAGAAAGTCCATTTTTGTATGGAATAGAATTTTTTTTTTAAATTATTGAGTATTTTGAAATATTTGAATGAATAACTACACTTCCGTGAATGCATTAAACATAATTTTAGAAATAGAAAAGTACTTCTAGACTTCTTTCAAGTGTAAGATGATTGGCCAAGAAGGAAATAAAAAAAAACTGCGTTGTGCCGAACACCGCTCGTAGTACGTAATGCGTCCGTTCTAGTTCCGCCTATCCAGCATTACGTTACATTCACGTAAACCAGACGTATCTCACATCCGTGATCGACGATCATATGACAAATTAGACTGATTCGTGTAAAAATTCACGTCAGATAATCTATTTATAAATGATCTATTCTCCTAATCTCTAAGTACTGTTATACTATTCGATTTGAGTACAGAGTGAAAGTGATATCTGGACATTAATAATGTGACAGACAAGTAATCGACACATCGTATTAGTGTCATTCTCGGATTTATCGATCTCATTTCAAGTTTTCATACAGTACACACATAATAACGTCTATTTGAGATGGGATTTTAATGAAGGTTAACACGAGGATGAAAATATAGCTATATCCGACAACAGAGTATATACCCAGAGAAGAAAGCATTTGATACAATCCGACTAGACGTGTCTCCATCTTGAGATGAGATTCACAAAACTAAAAAAGTATGTTTTAGTTTCATCAAGTCCCTGGCGGACATTAAAAAATTTTAAAAATTGTGAAGAGTTCAGTTTTGGTTGTAAAATGCAAGATTCTTTTTTTCACAGAAACAATATTTATTGAGAATATTTGCAAAGTTATAAATGTAACGCTGATATGATTTGGTTTTTAAATGTTATCTGTTTATTTATTTATTTATTTATCTGTCTACTTATTTATTTATCTATTTATCTGTCTATTTATTGCTTAGTCACATTCTTCCTTTTTCAGTGAGTTATCGTTTTTTACCTTTACGATATGCCTTCACGACCAGAATCGTCGAAATAAGACCTTTAATTGCGAGATCATGACAAACCCACCCACCCAACCAGTCACAGGGTTTTCCCAATGTCTGTATCAACGAGTTCACGTGCTGGGTCGTTTTCTAGGACTGATGGGATGGATCGGAGATAGTGTTGGCACGGTTCATTGACTGCGGTGCATTTAAAAGTATATTTAAAGAAACAGCTATTTAATATCTATAAATAGCTTTTTCAAAATATACTTAAACTTTTGAACAGTGAAGTGAAAGGCTACATTTAAACGCCCAGTATAAACCGTGGGAAGCGATAGGTTATTTTAACAGTCATATACTTTAATGGTCAAACATGTCCATTCTGTATTGATATCAGGATATGTGAAGCGAATATCGCTTGCTGAGGAAACACGACAGAATGGTGACGTGATAGCAATTTGGAAATTATCGAAAAATGAACAAGAGATCCCAGACAGATCTTGACGCCCATCATAGTGTGATCTTTATTAACTCTTGATAAGTTGAATCTTTTCGAATTTTTCTCTTTATCAAATTTAACATGGTCAGGTGGTATCACACTCGCCTTTCGCCTAGACGTCCTCGGTTCGATTCCCCGAAAAGTAGTGGGTGACTTGTCCGACCATTGGAATTCCCGCAGTAAGAACCCCTCTCGTGTTTCCATCCGGGCGAACATGAGAGACTGGAGAGACTGGAGAAGCTGGAGAGACTGGAGAAGCTGGAGAGACTGGAGTAGCTGGAGAGGCTGGAGAGACTGGAGAAGCTGGAGAGACTGGAGAGGCTGGAGAGGCTGGAGAGACTGGAGAAGCTGGAGAGACTGGAGAGACTGGAGAAGCTGGAGAGACTGGAGAAGCTGGAGAGACTGGAGAGACTGGAGAAGCTGGAGAGACTGGAGTAGCTGGAGAGACTGGAGAGGCTGGAGAAGCTGGAGAGACTGGAGAGGCTGGAGAAGCTGGAGAGACTGGAGAAGCTGGAGAGACTGGAGAAGCTGGAGAGACTGGAGAGACTGGAGAAGCTGGAGAGACTGGAGAGGCTGGAGAGACTGGAGAAGCTGGAGAGACTGGAGAAGCTGAAGAGACTGGAGAGACTGGAGAAGCTGGAGAGACTGGAGTAGCTGGAGAGACTGGAGAGGCTGGAGAAGCTGGAGAGACTGGAGAGGCTGGAGAAGCTGGAGAGACTGGAGAAGCTGGAGAGACTGGAGAAGCTGGAGAGACTGGAGAGACTGGAGAAGCTGGAGAGACTGGAGAGGCTGGAGAGACTGGAGAAGCTGGAGAGACTGGAGAGACTGGAGAAGCTGGAGAGACTGGAGAAGCTGGAGAGACTGGAGAGACTGGAGAAGCTGGAGAGGCTGGAGAGGCTGGAGAGGCTGGAGAAGCTGGAGAGACTGGAGAGACTGGAGAAGCTGGAGAGACTGGAGAAGCTGGAGAAGCTGGAGAAGCTGGAGAGACTGGAGAAGCTGGAGAGACTGGAGAGACTGGAGAAGCTGGAGAGACTGGAGAAGCTGGAGAAGCTGGAGAAGCTGGAGAGACTGGAGAAGCTGGAGAGACTGGAGAGACTGGAGAAGCTGGAGAGACTGGAGAGGCTGGAGAGACTGGAGAAGCTGGAGAGACTGGAGAGACTGGAGAAGCTGGAGAGACTGGAGAGACTGGAGTAGCTGGAGAGACTGGAGAGACTGGAGAGACTGGAGAAGCTGGAGAGACTGGAGTAGCTGGAGAAGCTGGAGAGACTGGAGAGACTGGAGTAGCTGGAGAAGCTGGAGAGACTGGAGAAGCTTGATTGGCAATTATTGTAAAATGAATGAAACCTCTATTATTTGATAACGACCCTCTAGTACTTCTTGTGGAAATAATAACACTAGCATGTAGCTGTCAAACTTCAAAATATCCGCTTGTCGGCCGGCGATGAGCGTAACTCTTGGTGTACCGAGGATGAACAAATCCAAGAAGGCAACTAATGGCTTATTTAATTCCCCCGATCCCGACCCACCGACAAAATATGAGAATAATTCATCATAGAACTTCTCAAGAAACAAGAGGACGATAACAATTTTAAGGACACGCGGACGGACTATGACCGATAGTGGGATTTGAACGGTCCATGATCTGATAATGGTGGACTAATAATCGATAAAACGACGATTAAATAAAACACATGAATTTATAAATCCATATAAAAGTGAAAAGGTTAATGCCAGTCCTTTAACTCGTCCAAAAAGCCTGTCATATAGAAACGTCAATTTATATAATGGCAGTTCTCAAAGTAAGAACCGGGATAATATAAACGAAAATGATACGTATAATGAATATATTCCTGCGTTTCTTGCGCAGATTCACGGTATGAATGCGACTCCAATAGAGCTTTGACAAATTAACAAAGACGTTTTCAGACTTGTTTGTGAGCTTTGACGGAATTTTCCAAGACATATTTGCCGATGATCTACGCGTCAATATGCTGATATGAAACGGCAAAGAAAAGCTTCACAGGATCTTAATTCAGGGAACTGCAAGGGTCTTATATACAGGAATAGGTGTCTCAGTCTGGGAGATAGTGTTACCTGTATCATGATAATTCATTGTTTAATTGACAATAGTTAGATAATATGTAGACATTATACTTAGATAAGCTCGCATGGCTTCGGTCTGGATTACATAAAACAGGTTCATATCGTGGAAAACATAAAGTAAAACATGATGATCTTTCATAGAAAAGCATTTATTGGAACTAAAGATTAAACAGGTCGCTTTTGTTTTTGGAAATGTTATTTTGCACAATAATTTCGACAAAAGTTCCATAGATAATTACAACAATGTTCCGGACTTCGGTTTTCCAAAATGTTATATCAAAGAAATAGAAATAAATACGAGCATATGTAATTTCGTTCGTCATTTTAAACAGCAATGGCCACAAATCGGTATAAACAGTGTAACCGTATGGTGTTTTAAACTCAAAACACACGACCGCTCCTCTTGTCCCTGTGTAGTCAACACAAACTCATTCCTGTAATCAAAATCACCATACACATTTCACGCCCAGTGATGCCCACCATCTATTCCAGCAGCGTAATTAAGCAATGTCACGCGCACTCTGTCACGTTTCGACCCCCGGGACGTTTTTGTGAAGAGTAGGGGGTACCGAGAGATTTTCTACATGGCAGTTCACTTTTGGTATCAAATTCTCACCTAGACAGTGATTGGAAATTAAAAGTTCAAGGCAATGACAAGCAGATTTTCCGATTTCAAAGATGTTACCAAGTCTACTGGTACCAACAAACTGATAGTAACATACTAATGGAAATTCCATATCTTCCGAAATATCGCTATGTTCAACATAGCGACTCCTGGTTCCACGCGTTTCAAGACGAACACTGGTCAGACTCCGACAAAGTCTTCTATAACATGGAATGTCATACGATCTTCTTTCATCTTCAGTGGTCAATGCAGATTTGAGTGACGTACGTCATACGTCGAATCTGTACATCGAAGTTTAGCTAAAATCCTGGGGTTGGATAATATTTGTGCGTTCAGCGGCCAAGTATCCTTTTCAGCATGTTCGCCTTCCGCTTCCTGTTTTTGAGGCACATACGAACTACATTCTCAAAAACATCCTTGACGTCAGTACCGTTTCTGGCCGAGCACTCAATGAACCCGTTAGCTTTGATTGATTTTGTCATACGCCGCCCTTCTTCTGTAGTAACGTGTTTGGACTGTCGCTTGTCCGTTTGTAAGGCCACAACCATGACTTGGCATCGTTTAGCAAAACTCCCTAACTCCCTTGACCAATGTGACCGCAAGCTGTCATACGATTCTCTGTCCAGAACACTGTAACACAGCAGAATGACGTCTGACTTGCAATAACTGACCCGTCGAACGTCACTTCCTTCATGCTGAAACAAGTATAAAAAAAATACATTGAAATGTGTTGAATAGAGCATAAAAGCTTAACAAAATGACTTTTTTTTTTAAATTTTGGTTTTTCTGAAATCAGCTGTCTGGTCTAGTACTAGTTATTCTTCCGCAATATCGACGTTAATCGGGTTAATTTCATCGGCTTCAGAAAAAAACCAAGAATAATTCTGACTTCTGTCTAGCCCTATAAGGTGTCGCTGCAGAATTTAAAATCTATGATTCAGATTATTGATCACTTAAAAATAACCTATATATTATAATGATTTTTCGCGCGATTGATTGAAATACAATACGTTTGTGTTGTAATAGCAAGCGTTTAACTAAAAAAAATTGGCGGGAAAGAAATCCTACTCAAGTGGCAACATTTCAAACGGTATTAGTTTACAAGCTTTCTCAGATGCACTGTTGTTTCTAAATATTCAATAAATAATATTTCTAAATATTCAATTAATAGTATTTCTAGATATTCAGTAAATAGTATTTCTAAAGCACACAATAGTTTTGGGGGTTAAACAAAATCATATCATGGTCCTCTTAGTGTGTTAACTAGAAGTTTATCGGTTAGAAACTCTCTCGTGATGGGATTTTACGATGTAATCTCAAATTTTACAGAAGGTTAAAATTTTTAATTGGTTTTATGGTCCCTGTGGTCTTGTGATGGGAATATAAGATACTTAAATTATTTTGACTTCCAGAAAGTGTCGATGTACGTCGTGTAGATTACTTCGACAACACTGCTCCCAATTGCAACACTGTGTTCCATATTTGTTTGTGTGAGATCAATATCCGTTATGTTTACAGTATCAAGTATATTCATATTCAAACATTTATTTCAATTGTACACCGACATACGCGGGTTGTTATAATCTGCTGAAAGTGTAATTTCACAAGCTGAGTCCGGTACATGGATACTTAAAGATGGCGCTTACCTCTCCGGCCGAATCTGTGATGGTGATGTTGTACTGGTCACCACCAAACCAAGCTTGACCGCTGTAATTGTCCTGAACTGTGGCTATATACTGGTCAGGAAAAGTCGTGTCCGCGAAAACTTTGGCCAGACAAGTCTTCCCGACCATACCGTCTCCGACAAGAGTACAGAACACACTCTTTGTATCCATAGTAACAACCATACTCCAAAGTCACAAAAGCAGCTGATCGTGGTTAACATTCAAAGTAGTTTTGGGCAGAGGATGAAAATCGGTAACGTTATACTACTTTCGGTTTAGCAACTAGCCAATCAGAATCGACCTTTCTAGCAAATCAACAAACACCTGTCAGACGACCTAATATGTTTCCTCGTGTGCGTAATAGTACCGCAAGGCCCTAAATAGATTAACGCGGCCCGACAAAGGACGAACTCAACCCACCGCACACAGGTAAATGTGACAGACCCACTGGAGCGGAACGATCATAATATACCAGCTACCTGGACGGGCGAGGATCAAAGAGTGCACTGGTGATCATATGTTTTACCGTTACCAGGATATGTCCGATTAACAGATGCTTTAGGTTATAGACCCTGATGTTTCTCGTTGGAGAGGATTAAGAGTCTCCCTCTAGTGACAAACTAAACATTTCGCTGTAACATGGCCTATCTCTTTTCATCACTTGACACATATTATAAAAACAGGTTATCAAAGAAAAACACACCGATTTACGCATTATGAGATAAGCGGCAAAGCAGTTTGCTTGCATCACGATTAATTTATCAAAGTTTCAAAATTTAATCAATATTCATTCACTCAACGGGAAACGAAGTATTTTTAAATGTATATAAGTATATCATAATTTTATTTGCTTCAATATCATTTGTCATTGTATCAAAATTTAATCACTATTCATTCACTCAATCGAGAAACGAAGTTTTTTTTTAAATATACATATATATCCTAATTTAAAGCTCATTCGCGCTGTTACTTCACAGTTAGGTTATTTATGGACCGAAGAGATTTTGTATTGAAAAGTCAAATACATGTTGTCATATTACAACCCGATTAGTAACAAGAGGTCAAGGGAAATATGTTTCTTTTAAAAGTTATAGTTGCATTTTAAGGAAAAGGTTTCTGTTGATCATTTCTTCTGAAGTTTGTGAATCTATCATGTAATATTTATTTAGTAAAATAAAAATAAAAATGTGATTCCTGAATCCTGACAAGCGCTTGCGGTAGCCAAGTACAATCCAAGTACATACTTTGACATAAATATACTGTATATTAATGTTGACCGAGTACATCAAATTTCTTACGGTTGTATCTTGATAGAGAAAACATGTTTGCGACGTGTGAAAAAATGCGTTGGTGCTGTCTCGGAACAAAAAAAAAGTTTTTATCAGATAAAAAAACTATTTTTGGTATGAAATATTGTAATGAGGGGAGGGAGGGGGGATGTTATACGATATGGTCATATTTCCATAGCTCGTACTCTTTTACCTTATAATCGTTGTGATGATAATAGGATATATTTGGACAACGGGGAAAATTATTTCTGGTAATAGTGACACTGATAATAATCGTTTTTACGTACTTTTTAAATTTATAACATTACTTTCGTACAAAACTACATACAAAATCACTATTTTTACCTTCATGATGAAGCTGTTTTTTCCAGAATTTACAACCCTGTTTTACATATAATGATACATTTCACCTACAATGACCTTATTCTATTCTCTGGTGGGATAAAACACGAATCTGTGGTATGTTCATTCGCTTTAATTTCACATTTGTAAAATAGGTCACTTGTTTATCTTGATATAACAAGTGTATATTTTAGTCCGAAAAATGCTCGGCAAGTAAATATTAAAATGGTTTACATAGAGTACGACGTATATATAGGATGATAATGACTTTCATATATCTTCATTTACAAGAATTGTGAAATATTCCATTTTTGTGTAAAATATACTTTTTTTGGTGTGGATGACGTACAAACGTATATTATCGGTGTAAATCCATTATATACAATGTAGATAATTAATTTTAAAAAACTTACATTCTTGACATTTAATTATGATATCTTTCAAATCTGGGTGATATTTTGTAACACTTTCATCATTAGAAGTGTTACTGTTTTTGACACGTAGAACTCTGCCAATCCCTCAGTGATCCGAACCGTCAGGTGAAATAGATCATATGTGTTGAATAGATAGCATTGAAATGTGATTTTTATCACCCAGAGGGCGATATTTCTCGAACCGCTGATGATTCATAGAGCTAGTAGAGGGCGCCACATGTTTTATTGGATATCATGATACCATGAACGTTAAATATGGTTAATGTGACTAGAGACGTCTCTGATGTGACAGAATACCTGAAATGACAAGCTAATTACCCTCTCTCTTGTGAGGTTTCGTGGTCAGTTCTAAATGGTCCAGATGGTCAGTGGATACTGTTTACCGGTGATTATCACACCTCAATGATCGGTGCGTGCGGTCACTGTCACGACACGGTTGACTGGATATTTATCGGCATCACTAAATTAATGGATTTGACCATTGGTCAGTGTTGCCCGGAGAGATCTTCATCATCGACTCTTTATCTACCCGTAAACAAATTAATCCTTGGTGTCGCGAGAATAACTGTATTACAACGCGTTATGAAACATGTAATTTGTTACCTTTGACACTGGATTCCGGTGACAACTGTGTAGCTAAAATAAATTCTTCTTAAAAAGTAACCTTTATATGTTTCTGTGTAAAGAATTGTGTTTACCTAAAAGTCAGTAGATATAGAACGTGTGACAGAAATTGCCGAAATATATTTGTTGTCACAAGACCTGTGTATTAAAAATGGGAGATGAAATAATTCAGAACGAAGTCTTAGAATATGTACACTTTACATCATCAGTAAAGAAGAATTTCATTTTAAAGTGTCTTTTTTTTTAAATCATTGCGAAAGAAATTTGTGAAATCGTATCATTCTAGAATTATGTATGTTCAAATTTGTAGAGCTGTTATCAATTGAAAATAAAAATACATTTCCAATCTTTCAAAATTTAAAAAAGAAGAGAAGATTATGAAATATTGTAATATGTGTATGGAAACTTGAACTTTTTAGTAGGTGGTTTTGAAGGAGTCAGGACATTAAACTTTCTTTTCTTATTAAATACACCAATTATTTTGTCAATCCTGTTACTATAATGTACATCTGTAGTAACATTATTAGCCTCTGTATAGTACGGTCACTCTCTACACCAATTATTTTGTCAATCCTGTTACTATAATGTACATCTGTAGTAACATCATAAGCCTCTGTATAGTACGGTCACTCTCTACACCAATTATTTTGTCAATCCTGTTACTATAATGTACATCTGTAGTAACATTATTAGCCTCTGTATATTACGGTCACTCTCTACACCAATTATTTTGTCAATTTTGTTACTATAATGTACATCTGTAGTAACATTATTAGCCTCTGTATAGTACGGTCACTCTCTACACTGGGTGATTGCGTGAAGATATTGTAATTTGCTGTTTATGCACAGTAAATTTGCACGTATACTGATGAGCCACAAGGCTTAATTAAAGTAATAAAGAAACGAATTGATGACCTTACCAGAAATTCGATATTAGTTGACCTCGAGCCATAGTCAAAGTTAATTGGACAGTTTCAAAATATTGTATCAATTTTCACTGCATTATTTTGAAGACACCATCATGTAAGGCATACAGAGACGAAATTCCATATACAAAAATCGAAATAAAAACGAAGACATTTGAAATATTTTTACCCTTAAACAAAATTTAGAATATACATTCAATAATTTAACTAAAAAAACAACTAAAAACAAAAACGTATATTTTGAAATTATTTTTCGTTTCACAAGTACTAATTACAAATATATTTTGTCTATAAATACTCATTCACGGTACAAATCGGTGACGCTATAATAATATTTGAAATATATTTCTCTATCAAATTTATCATTAACTACTCACTACGTTTAATTACATAAACCTTAACGATGCTGAAGGGGTATGACCAGAGTTTCGCCGAGCAGACTATAATAACTTTTATAGCATAAGCGTTGTTTTTTTACCAGGAAGGAGAGTTTTTATTGTACATGTCATGTGTATGTCAACACCTGTACATATTTCATTAATCCACTTTTCTATTTTCAGATTTTATCACAAATTACCGCTGGACACTGCTGAATAGGCTGTGACTATTTTAGTGCAATACAATAAGATCAAGATATTATCATGAAATCTTGACACGCGAAGACGATGGAGAAGCTTGAGGGTGTTCACAGTAAATGTGTCTGTATTGTGTAATTGGAAATGAAGCGCATGAGTCTTGAGGCATGAACGTGCGTGAGCGAGTTACACTTGGTGAAACTGATATTGAAATGACGGAACAAATGAACTGAAGTACATTAAATAAGGTTTATCATTCCGTGAACAGAACGGATAGTTTCCAGACGAACCGTTCTTGTAGTAGCTTTTGGTTATATCCCTGAACATACGGGAGACCCGTCGGACATCACCCAAGGGGTAAATTGTTATGTCCATGGTGACAACTACGGATGGACTTGGCGATGTATTTGTGAGTTAATAACCCCAAGAAAGGTCATTAAAATGAAAATTAAAAAGTTGGCATGCTAAATCATAATATATACACACAAATGTGACCCTAACCCATCCCTGATGTTGAAACATGTAAAGGGAAGCAACTCTTACTATACATCGTGCAAGCTGGCTACCGTCAATATGTAATCTTAGTCAGTTTGTATGTTATCTATAAATTTAAATACGTTTTAGTTTGCAATAAAAATACTTTTACAAACACAATGGATATGATTAAGAAAAACTGAATACTGGACTAGGTTTTCATTATGACTACAAGGTGTAATCAAAAGTCAAACTCGGATGGAAAGTACCGAAATCTTGAGCTCCGTGAGATTTTTCCTCATTCGCCTTCAAGGTTTCAAGATTAAGGATCTTAGCATCACTGACGAGGACAAAACAGATACATGACGCAATTAAAATTGTTATTTGGCTCTACTGTATCTAATTCTTAATTTATATCACAAGGTGCTTCTCACCTATGTGTGCTTAGTAAGTTATTTCATATTTATTTGGCTTTTGTATACATAACGTTAGTAAATTAGTTGATTACTTTATATATTC